AAGGTACCATATCAGTGTGACTCAACAAATACAAATTTCTAGTGTACAAAACAAATGCTCTCAAAACTGTCATGATATAGTCCGCCTCGGCGATTTTATAGTTCAGTAGGACAGACGATAGGAAGAGATCTTGAACAAGACAGAACAATCTAAATACTATGTATCAATTACAAAACAGAAGAAAACAAAAAACAAAAAAACAAAAACCAGCATTCCCTAGGAGGCCTGGACAAGGGGTCTCAGGAGAAGGCACAGGCTAGTTGAGTTTCTGGACCAGGACCAGCTCAAAGAGCAACATGGAGACACCACGAAAATGCATTGCTGGTCTTGGTGTCTGCAGCCAGAGCTCTGGTTCACACCAGTACTATAAGTTATGGGAACCTTACACAGAAGCAGCAAGGAATAGTTTCGGTCTACACAAATCAGTGAAATTCTGATAAGAAGTTGACCTGCTGACTTCCCGGAAGGCTTGGTTGGTTTTGAAGGTCAGGAAAGTGATCCCCCCCGCCATTCAAGTTCAGGGTCACGGCTGCGCATGTGCAACCCAGTGTTTGAGGCTTTAGCTAATTAAGACCATTTAGCATTCTTTGGTCTTCCAAAATTTCTCCCATCTATTTTATTCCTTTTGTTTGTTTATTTGTTTGTTTGTTTGTTTGATTGATTGATTTTTATCAAGACAGGGTTTCTCTGTGTAGCCCCGGCTGTTCTGGAACTCTCTGTAGACCAAGCTGGCCTTGAATTCACAGAGCTCTGCCTGCCTCTGCCTCCTGAGTGCTGGGATTAGATGCGTGCCCCACCGCTGCCCCGCTATTTTATTGACTTTTTGTAGAGTGTCTCACTGAAAGTTTTACAACATCATCTTTGCACTTTGAGCTTTCGACAGGCAATGGGAAGGACTGACTGAGTTGCGCAGAGCCTCCCTCCCCCCCCCCCAATCTGAGGAATTCTATCATACCCCACCAGTTAGCCCAGCACGAATACCCTCAGAGCTCGCATATAGATTTTTTTATTTGAAAGTGAGACTTGGATCCGGCATTCAGATCTTAAAAGAAATCACAGAAATAGAAAAGGACATCAAAGATCTAATAAAGAAGCAAGCAAAGAAAATACATAAACAAAATATAATCTATTATGAATAGTACTAGTAAAATGAATGGTGATTCTGAGCTCCGCAGACAGACCTCACTGCCAACCACCGGTACATACCTTGTATAGACACTGATATGAAGACGGAGATAACAAAGGCTCCCCAGAACTTAAAGCCTGGATTCACTGTGTAATAATAACATGGTAATGGAGGGCAAAGGGCGAGCGAGGCACAAGACATGACCCGATCTAGCTCACAGCCACAAACGCCTTTGTCAGAATAAATCAATATAGTTAATGACCACACTGGCTCCTTATAGTGACGTGTTCATGGTAAGGGGTGGGCCCTTCCGTAGAGCGACAGTGCTAATGGCAGCAAGCAGGAGAGAGCCACGAGGACAAGAAACTAAACGGGAGCTGGAAAAATCTTGACAGTTTCCCTTGGAGCAACTTTGAGGAAGATGAATCTTGGATCGTGACCTTCTGATTTACTCCATTCATGGGAACTAGCTTTTGGTATAAACTGAGAGCCCACTGGGGGTCAATTTCGGTTTTCTAATCTGTTTGAGGTAGTTTTTTAAAAAATGATACCATCTGCTATTTCCCAATTCCTTAGTATTAGTATAAGATTTATTCAATTTAATCACCCCACAGGACTGGGCTGGGGAAAACTAAGTTAGATAAACTGGAAGACATTCTAAAATAATTACAAAAGGCCAACTCAAGAAAATGCAATTGTCACCATAATAATGACAACTAGGTTTAGGGTAGCAGTTCAGCAGCCATCCTTTGTAGGGCACAGAAAAACCTTGGGCTCACTCCCCAGCACCACAAGAGTGACGATTTAATGTGATTTTACGTATTATTTATGAAAAAGATCACACACTATGAAGCAAATTTGTATCACTGAAGTGTCACCTCTTGAAAAAGGGTGAATAAGTGGGTGGCATCTGGGTACTGTCTGCCCATGGAAGGGGAAACAGGTTCATCCAGACATCCTTCTTTCAATACACAGAAGAAATTCTACACCCACTGTGGGTATAGGACTGAGGATGGGGGCTGAGTGACAGGCGGCAGAGTCACATGACAGATTACAGGAACTCCGACTCCCGTGACCCGCATCAGGGTGCAGGTCTGAGTTTATTGCCCATGCATACTCTTACGTACAGTGTTTGAGCCAACTCCGTGACCCGCATCAGGGTGCAGGTCTGAGTTTATCGCCCATGCATACTCTTACGTACAGTGTTTGAGCCAACTCCGTGACCCGCATCAGGGTGCAGGTCTGAGTTTATCGCCCATGCATACTCTTACGTACAGTGTTTGAGCCAACTCCAAGCCCCTAAATCCTTGCCTAATTGTATCTTGCTACACCATCACCATGCTCCAGTGAAAGCTCGCCCTGATGAGGTAACTCAGTATCATCACTTGTGAGAACTTCTGTGAGGACAGGGGAAGTGGCCATCACCCTCGTCTCGGGTCCTTTTTGCTGTCTCGTCCGTGTTCTGGGAGCCACCTTAGATCTAATGCCATGTATTGCAGGTCAGGCCTCTTCAAGGAATTGGAAGAGTCTGTGGCAAGCCTCGCTCTCCATCCCACTTCTTCCTTCACAAAGTTGACTTCCACATCCCCGACAACACACAAAATCATTAATCTAGCCCTTCCTTAAGAATTCAGCTTAATTTTTTAAAATTGCAAGGCTAAGTGTTCTATATTCATTATATATGTTTTATGTTTAGATGTATATAAATTATATAAATATATTATTTATTATATTCTACATGCTATATATCATTTATATATAATGTATACAAACATATTTATATAAACATAAGTAATATATATTTATATAATTTGTATTATATAGAATATATAAATGTATATAATTATATATAAATAAAATATATTTATATGCTTTATTATACATATATTCTTTTTATTTTCACATTTAAGTCAGTGCCTTGTTAGGGTTTCTACTACTGTGCTCAAATACCATAATCAAAAGCAACGTAGGTAAAAATTTCAGTGTACAACTCTTAGATCAGTGAGGGAAGTCAGGGCAGGAACTCAAGGTGGGAGCTGAAGCAGAGGCCATAGAGAAGTGATGCTAAATGTTTCATCCTCACGGCCTGTTGAGCTTGTTTTTATACTACTCAGGATAACCAAGATACCACGGCCCCAGGAGGCTGCCACTCCCTGCCTCATTCCCACACACCAGCAAATGTACCACAGATTTGCCCACAGGCAATCAGATGTAGGCATTTTCTGAATTAATGTTCCTCTTCCCACATAATTCTAGGTTGTGTCAAGCTGATAATCAACCAACCAACCAACCAACTTACCAACCAACCAAACAAAAACCCACACAAAATCCACCACCCCGGACAGTCAGTACAGCACTAAAAATATACTCTTCCCTTGTGCTCTTTGCTATCCTCAAAGTTGTTCACATTGTCCCAAAGACTTCAAGAAAGTCTTGCTTCCTTTCTGGGCTGGGCTATGATTAAGTTGTTAAGGTGCTTGTTGTGTGTCAGCATGAGGACTCAAGTTCTATCCCAGCACTCAGCATGTGAGCATGGGACTGTCATCTCAGAAGGAGGCAGAGACAGAAGGTTCCCTGGGGCTCTATGGCCAGGCAATCTAACCAAATCAGTGATTCCTAGATCCCAGCAATAGATCTTGTCTCCAAAATGGTACCTGAGGAGGAATGATGATACCTGAGGTTGCCCTGTGACTTCCACATGCACCCTCCTACACATGCATAGAAAATGGTTATGCTGTCTCTATCTTCATGCAGAGGGATGCTATGAACTTTGCCTTCATTGTAAATAAGAAGCATCATGTATAAACAGGTTGGAAAATCCATGTGATGCAGAGCTTGGGAACCAATAGTTCTAATCCTGGCTCTGAAATTTATGAGTTGTGTGATGTTCAACAAGCTACAGAATATCTCGGGACTTTAAATACCAAGTGAGCAGAACCTACTTTACAGGGTGTATGTAGCATGTTGCTGTCTGAAACACTTCCCAACACAACAAAGGAGCTTAGTAAGTGGAAAAAAAGTATTTTGCCAACCACAGAAACAATTATGAGACCAACAGAAAGGAAAAGGAGAACAAGCTACAGTCAGGACTGCCAGGCAAGTAACAGTCATGAGAGTGTGAAACTACATGTCTACAGTGGTGTGGACAGCAGCACCTCAAGACAGAGGATGGATGTCTGGAGAAAATGAGGATTTAGGTTTTTTTTCTCGGGAATACAAGAGCTATTGAATCCATTTTGAGAAAAACTAAGAAAATAACTCTGGAAATATGGAGGATGAGTTTGGAACAAAGCCAGGGACAGAATAATCAACAGTAAGGAGGCCTGAGCAGGAAGCTGTGCTAGAGCCATGAGACAAGACAGAGGCCAACAGAAGAGACCTGGGAGGGTGGAGTCTGCCCAGTGAGATGGGGCAGCATGTGTGTGTACAGGAGCACAGAGGATACTTAGGAATAAAGTGAGGTCCAGAGCATTTAAGGAGATGTCTAAGCAGTATTCTTCCTTTGAGGATCTGAAATCTCCATGGAGATGAGAACTAAAGTCAAAGGGATGGAGTGAAAAGCTGGAAGGTGTAAGGGTCTCTAAAACAACCAATCAGAGGAAAGAGCCTTAAGGCAGGTAAGTTACTTATACAGACAGTACTAAGAAAGGACAGTTTGGTTAAAATAGCCTTGGCTAATGATGGACTTGAAAAGCGCCTAGAAGTTATGAAAATAATAGTAATTGTTAAATTTTATTGCTAAATTCCTGATTGTACAGTTAACCAATTAGACACAAAGTAAATGAAATCATTAGCTAAATAATGCCTTAAGATTCTGCTATGAAATTAAGTGAAACCTTTTCTTTCTTTTATTAATAAATATATAAAAGAGAAGTTCAAAATTTATTTACAAGTTTATTTAAAAAGTTTTAACAATGATGTCTGACAGGAAGTCATCAGATGATCACCCACTTGCTACACAAAAGCACTGAAGGAACAGGAGCCCCCAGGGTCCTCAGAGATTGACGTCTCAGAGCAGAAGTCCCAGTGTCCCCATCAGTTGCGGAGGAAGTGCCACATTTCTTCTGTTTAAAGTATGGGGGGAGGGGAGGGAGGAAGAATAGGACATGTTTAGTTTAGGTCTGTAGAAAGTATACAGAAATTTTTTGTAAAGTCTCTATAATCTTAGCATGTCATCCCTTTACTAAGATTGGCTACTGCCTCCAGTTCTCCTGTTTTCAGTTGACTCAGCTTGATATAAAAGTACATTAGAAATTCTAGAACCTTCTCATGGTATTTTCTGGCCCCTTTTGAGGTCATTTTAGTCTTTAGTGAAGAGTACAGAAGTAGGCCTCTTGCAACAGTAGGAAAGGTTTAAAAACCCATTTTGCTGTAAAATTGTTTGTTAAATACCCAAAAGAAGATGTGCTGCAAAGAAAGCCCAACTGGCCAGCAGATGGGGACCACACCTGCTTTCCCATGGAGCCCTGTCTAGGGGCACCCTCACCCCTAAACGTCTTACAGATGGACATAGTCAGTTGTTCTCCTTTTTCTCTCCAAATTCACTAAGTTGGATATACTATCATTTTATATTAAAAGGCCAAAAGCATCGTCATATTTTGAAAGACACATGGTATGTGTATATGCTTACATTCTGAAATGTTACTAAAGAATACTTTTACTTGTTTCTCAAAACAGCTTCAAATAAAGGTAACCAAAGTCACATTAAAATGCCTAGAGATAATAAGATAAATCTTTTAGATTCAAATTTTTAGAGTCATCTTAAATTTACCAGAGCTGCCTGGAATCTGTCATTCACACAGAGCCATCAGTCATGAGAATGCCACACTGCCGCACACTATAGCAGCCACGAGGAAGCCTGAACAAGCCAGATGGCAGGTGCTTAGTCACCATGTCATCAAACCAGCTAGCCTCAAAATAACAATTGTGCTCCTCATTTGTTGAAGTTAGGACAAATGATATTTTATCTGGGCAATTTAATGGCCATCTGAAATCTATTTTTCTTAATTTACATAACTTTTAAACTAGTTTTATTTATTTATTGGTTTCTACTACTATAAACAAATGTATACATTTTGCTCTTAAGAACCATAACAAGGCCACTGACATGGGTCAAGGTGAGGGTGCCTGCTGCTAAGCCTGATGACCTGGAGTCTACCCCCAGAGTCTATGGCAGAAGGACAAATTGACTCCCAAAAGTGCACACTCACTCTCAGTCTCTCTCTTAAACCGACAAGTAAGGTTTGTAAGAGCCATACTGTACCTTCTACATTGCTTTCTTTACTCATCGAAGGTGTTGGAACCTAAAGGTAAGAATAGGAGAGAATTCATATACTTAATGTTTATATATGGGAAGTGAACACAAAAATATTTTTTAATGAGATTATAGAATAAAATTGAGTCTAACTTCAAAAAAGTAAAGATTCCTTCTGCTTTACTAGGGTGCTCATTCTTTCTAAGAAATAAGCCCCCAGATATAGAGTCAAATTAGAGAACGCATCCTCAGAAATACTTTCTATCAGTAACCCGCATGGCTCACTGCGTCCTCCACCCTGTAGCTGAGTGTGTGAAGACATTTTCTTTCAAGCCACACTCAGACAATGGCACCCAGGGACCACATTTAAGCAGCCTGTTCTGTCATGCTCACTCGTGGCGGCACTACCAAAGCAAGGTTCTTGATCCCTAATACATTTCCCCAGATCATCAATGGTTTGGTTAATTTCCCTTGAAATATATGGACGAGGAGCAGAAGGACAGAGGCTTATCATTATTATTCAATACATCTTCCTCTCTCTCACACACACAAACATGCTTAACTAGGCTGCTTTTTCGGGCAGCAGATTAAAACAAGTTTAAGAATACACAGACTGTAAGTTCCTCATCTTTCAACATTGTTGTATCTTTTTTGTATATTAAATGTCACAAAATTCTTTGGAAAATTCACTGGCTAAGTTTCCTGTATAAAATTAACATCTTTTTCTAATTGGCACTGCCAACCGTTTCAGAAATGGATGGTGCACAAACATAAAACAATCAAGCAATATTTTGTTAGCCTAAAAAGAACTGCAAAAAAGGAACAAACATGTTATCTCTTAAAACATTCATCACGACATTACTTAAAAAGTAATCTCAAGCATTCGGGAGGCAGAAACAGGCAGATCTCTTGAATTTGAGGTCGGCCTGGTCTACAGAGTTAGTTTCAGGACAAACGGGCCTATACAGAAATAACCAGTATCAAAACAAACAAAACAAAACACACAAATAAATAAATCTCAAGAAAGTTATTTCTCCATTGTTAGGACAGATTTCCTGATTGGTTAAATATATTTAAAACACATAAACCCCTATTTAAAGGGAAACAAACGTTATGGGAAGCCAGATAATGACAATCAGAGTTCTGTCACAGTTAAGAAACACCTTCTCTGCCAGGCGGTGGTGGCACACGCCTTTAATCCCAGCACTTGGGAGGCAGAGGTAGGCGGATTTCTGAATTGAGGCCAGCCTGGTCTACAGAGTGAGTTCCAGGACAGGACAGCCAGAGCTACACAGAGAAACCCTGTCTTGAAACAAAACAAAACAAAACAAAACAAAACAAAACAAAACAAAACAAAAACAAAGAAGAAGAAACATCTTCACATTAGAGAAGAGGATGATGTTTAAATTTGAAAGTAACAACCATGGTTTAATGAAAAGCATCAGATATTTAACTCTTCAGTGTTGACAATTATTTCCCGATGTTTTTATTGAAAAAAATATTTTTTATACCATATATTCTGATAATGTTTTCCCTGAACTATTCCAGGTCTTCCTTACCCATCCGACTCCCTATCTTCCTTCTGTTCTGATTCTGAACGACAAGGACAACAGTGCATAAGTTCATTTCCCTATCTTATCAACGACAGCTAGTTTTAAACTTTCTGTGTCTGGTCTTATAAGCACATACGTTAGTATTTCCATATCTAGAAGGAAAATTTCAGAATAGTGAGTTAGAACCATCTTCCAGTCTCAGTAAGAATGACTTAGCATTCTTTGAAGTAATTATAACCAGCTATCCTGCCAAGGTAATCACTGAGTATGGGGCCTTTCTCTGACCATCCAGCATCATCAGATTTTTAAACTCTAGGTAATCTGATAACTATGAAACTCCACGGCATCTTGTTATTAGCTTTGTGAGACTTGGTCTCACTCCCTCACTCCCTCACAGAGGCTGACTTGGAACTCAGTATGCTGCTTGAGTCAGTCCTAAGCTCACAGCAATCCTCAGGCTCCCACAGGCTAAGACACAGGCATCCTTCTGCCTGTGGCCTTGGACTTAGAAGGCTCTCCTGTTACGCTCAGTTGCCCACTCCGTCACCTACAACAGCAGGCTCGTTTGCGTGCCCCTTTCCTATTGAGCTGTCCCAGACCGCTGCTCAATGACTACAATTCCCAACCTCTTCTTGCCGTTGTAGCCCCTCTTCCTACTTATTTTTCATCATGGTAATTATTGTCCATTGAAAACCTATCTATAAAAAAAAAAAAGAAAACCTATCTATTTCACATCTGCATTTATCATTTATCTTCCCAACTAAAATGTAAGTTTCAAAAGGATACAAATTTTTGTATTTTTTTTTTTTAGTGTGCACTCTAGCACTGATTCACCACCACAGAGCAGGTTATAATTGAATAGTTGATGAATTAGTGGTGGGAAAATCCAAATTAGAAGCAGCCATAATTAACAAATAACATTTAGGAACATTTTAGTTGTTCATGAAGACCTAAACTTACAAGTTTCTACCTCATAATTAGCTAAAAGCCCTTAATTTATAAGGGGGATTTTTAAGCCTGTTAAATCTCTGTTAAATACACTCTATATACCTAATCATCTAAATATTAATGCTATTTAGTGTTCTCTAATTAAGAATTAATAAACTGGTAGAGCCAGTTGTCGTCACACAGCATTATCACTAAGGCGAAGGGCCGGAAGCCTCCAACAAAGCAAAGCTTGTGACTTAGGTGATCTGTGTGCAAATGACAAGGAGGGCTTTAGGTGCTTCAATCTCTTCAGCCAAAATGCACCTGCTCTATGCAGACAATTCGAGGGACAACTGACTGGGAGAGCAGAGCACAGAGAGGAAATGCATGCAGACGGCTGTGGACTGGGAACATGAAGACAATTTGAACCCAGAATTTAAGAAGTAAACTAGAAGGTTTTAATAGCCTCTGACTTAAATGACCCAGCCCCCTCCAAAAAAAAAAAATCCAACAACAATAACAACAACCAAAAAGCTAACTTCAATAGCATTATTTCACTTTATGCTCCCCAAAGGTCTTGACATGCTTTGTGGCTACATCCTTCAGGACCTCAGTAAGTGATCTTATGATATGTACATGATTAAAAGACGTCTTGGATACTGGCTCCTTACCGATTCAACTAGTGATTTTGCTTCTTCTGTAGTGCAGTGGAAAGGACTATCACAGATGTGCACATTTACACTGCAGAAGAGAAAGGATGTTAGTTAACACAGCTGAAAATGACCGACCACAAACACTGCGGGGCTGATGACGTCAGCCAAAGAAGAGCGGATGGAGCAAGGGCAGACCAGTGAGAGGAGACCTAGTGTGCACGAATGGGGAATAATGCACTACACTGCACTCTCCGCAGTCACAACAGGTTTACAATGATGTAATGTCAAAACAATTCCCTGGTGCATACATCAACATCCCAACTATATTTAACCTTGATTAAGACACAAATCAACATGCAGAGTGAGATGGTGTGAGGACATTCTCCTGTCTGGAAAAATCACTGGTACTGGAAAGATACTGAATTTCTGTCTCAAAGAGAATCAGAAGAATAAGAAGAAGCAAAAAGTAGGACATGAAAACTTTCCTAAGTTGGGCACCCTGAGAAGGCAAAGGACCAGCCTTGGCTTACTCTTCAATCAGTAAGGGCTTGGAAACTCGTGTCCTTGATAGTTTGGAAGACCTGGAAGCACGCTACCACTGCCCAGGCCCCGCTCCCCAGATGACAGCAGAGGCCACTATCACTCTTACATACAGTAAGGCCAATTTCTAAAAGTTTCAAAGAATAGCTGGTGGGTTGAAATGGGTGTAGAAAACATTATCCGAGAAGGGAGCTATGACCAAGTTCCTTTTTTTAATCAAAGGAAAAAGCGACAAGCAATGATTGTCTCCTAAGAGATGAATGTGGGGGACACAAACACTCATTTTCTCTCAAAAGGACCTAACAGCTACATATGATCAAACTTATCGTCATTATTGCTTTCTGAAACGTGTTGGGAGTCTGTGGAAGAGCTGTCCATGTGTGTGTATGTTGTTCAGACTCCATGTGTCTGTAACTGGCAAGATGATTACAGTAGGTTCTCATCCTGCATCATATGCAGCGTATAACTTAGCTTCATTTTTGCCACGAACAATATTTAATTTATAAATTGTCTGTAGATTTTTAAATAACATTATTAATGTAGGTTTTTATTGATGTGTGTGTATACACTTTGTCACTGCATGCATGTGAAAACCAGAGGACAGCCTCCAGGAGCTGCTTCTCTCCTTCATCCAGATGGGTCTGAGGAATTGAACTCAGGTCATCAGGCTTGGTGGCAAGTACCTTCACCTGCTGAGCCATCTGGTTCAGATCTTTTTAAAATTTGTTTATCTTAGTTTTTTTGAGGTAGTCCTTGCTATGTGTCCCATGGTGGAACAGAACTTTCAATCCCCGTTCCTCAGCCTCTCCTGCTCCAGGACTCCAGGTGTGCACATGGCACCTGGCTCTCTGTGAAAAGGCTCAACGAGAAGTGCCAGTTGTATTTTAAGTTATAATTTCTTTACGTTTTCTTGTCTCCACAGATCATGTCTGAATAGCTTGAAAACTGAGACCAGTAGAGTCTGAAGCCAGCTGTGTCAGCTAATGAGAGTAAAAATAACAAGAGGGGGCTGGAGAGATGGCTCTGTCATTAAGAGTATTGAACTGCTTGCTCTTCCAGAGGTCCTGAGTTCAATTCCCAGCAACCACATCGTGGTTCACAACTATTGGTAATGGGATCCAACGGCTTCTTCTGGTGTGTCTGAAGACAGTGATAGCATATTCACATACTTACAATAAATAAATCTAAAAAAAATTATTGAAAAAAAATAACAAGAGGGCTAAAGAGATGGCTTAGCAGCTAAGAGCACTGGCTGCTTTTCCAGAGGACCAGGATTTGATTCACAGCACCTCTATGAGGCTCACAACTATCTGTTACTCCAGTTCCAGGGGATTTGTCACCCTCTTCTGGACTCTGTGGGCAATGCATACACATGGTGCAGAGACATGCAGTCCAAACACCCATACACATAAAAGATAATACAATAAGAAAACATTAAAATAAAGGCAGTAGGCAAAACAACTAGATACTGCAAGGTCTTAAGTGCTCGTCCTCTAGAGAAAGTATAGGGTGGGATAAGTCCATTCTACCTTACAACTGCTGGGCAAAGGGAAGTGAGAACATAGGCAGTGTCCATAATAATTAGGACTGCCAAACAGAATGCAAAATATCTGACTACATTTAAACTGCATATGAGCATAATTTTCCAAAAATATTTTAAAAACCAATTGTTCTAAAATTCAACATGAACTGTATACAGTTTTAATCTGTTGATCTGATAACCCTATTTCTAATGTAACCCTCCACTCCTACAACAAAGGAAGGTACACACAGCAGCATTAGAAAAGAACAACATTAAAGCCAGCATTAGAACACTTTAAAATACTGATTTTTTTTTTAAATTCAATTAAATGTTTTCACAGGTAACCAGGATACGCCAACTGGCTCTGTTGCCTTTTCACTTTGGGTTATTATTAGTCAAAAAGCCAGTGAGTATTTTCGTCAATAAAGTATATCATCTAGAGCAGTTGTTCTCAGCCTTCCTAATGCTGTGACCTTTAATACAGCTCCTCATGCTGTGCTGATCCCCAAGCATAAAATTGTTTTCTTACTACTTTATAACTGTACTTTTGCTACTGTCATGAATGGCAATGCAAATGTCCGTGTTTTGTATGGTCTTAGGCGATTGCTGTGAAGGGGTTGGTGAGCCCCCTGGTTGAGAACTGCTAATCTAAAGTAGAAGAACATGCATGCATATGCATGTGTGTATGCTATCTGTTCCTCTACCAGGATTTTCTAAAGTACTTTGTACTTGGACTGCTGGAAGGGATAATGTGTATTACTCAGCTGTTCTGTGCTGGTTTAGCTGTATTTGGTGGTGTGGGTCTGTAACCCCAGCTACTAGGGAAGCTGAGAGAGGTGGGCAAGCTCAAGACCTGCACAGCACTGAGGAAGAAGCTCACGGCCCATACAGGTGCTGTGGTGAGACTCTGTCTCAAAACCAAAAAGAAAAGAAAGGAAAAGTGTATCCAACATTGATTAATATTCCTTTGCAATTTCAAAATTTATACTGTGTCTCAGACTTTTCTGGATGCTAGAAACAAAACATAGAGCCAATGAGTTCTCTACATAACTTTCAATCTTCAGGTCTTTCAGCCCTCAAGCTGGTAACAGCCTGTGGGAGAAGCTGATAATCACTGAATGATTAGGGTGTTTGTACCTACTGAAAAAAAAATGTGATTGAAAATAGCACAAAAAAACGTGTTTTTTTTTTTTTAATTTTAAGGTACTGAACGTCTTTGTTCTAAATTTATAAAAGTCCTAGCTTGCAAAACTAACTGAACAAATCGTTTACAAGTGATGTACACAGTACACACAGAATGTCAAGGACTGAGCCAAGAAGACACAGCATTGCAGCTAAAAAATCACCAATATCAAAAATGCTGTATACACTAAACATAAATTATATTTAGAAATTAAAAAGACATGTTAAAAAAAATAGATTACGGCACAAAATCACAGATTAAATGGGAAAGAAATGATTACCTGAAAATAACAGATATAAAAGAAAACTTATAGGGTCAAGAATATAGAATTTTAATCAATGAAAATGATTGTCTTCCAGTGAGTCTCAAGCCTGACAAAGGCTCACAGTCATGAGTACCAAAGTCAGTGTCCAGGGTTCACGCCGTCAAAGCTTTTCACTTTAAAGTGATACAACCAAGAAAAACCAGGAAGAGGACACCAGGGTGTGGGGCTGCTGCTGCGTCTGGTTCATGACCCTTAAGAGTTTGTAAAAGAAAATGCTACTGGGGCAAATATATACAGAACTAGATAGAACTGCTGGCACTATTGACGGGCATATAAAGAACTATGCCTCTGTGTGTGTGTGTGTGTGTGTGTGTGTGTGTGTGTGTGTGCACAGTACAGCCACATATGCATTTATTCCTGTGCATGGATTTCAGGTGCAGGGGTGCATTCGTGCCACAGTGCATGCACAGCTGGTCCTCTGCCTCTGGACTTAGGTCCAGGGGATTAGAATCTGATAGCTAGGCTTACAAAGCAGCGCTGGTGTCTGCTGCCACCACATTGGCGCTGCAAGAGGATGCCCTATGAATCAAATGTACCTTCCTTTGGGAAGTGAAAAACAACACTAAAGAAAATAACTTCAAGACATAAATACCTTGGGATAATTGAAAAATATGTTTCTTTGATCAGAACTACTTTCTTACTCCATCTTTGCACCTATCACAAGACATCGAATTAAACATTTATTTACTTATAAACTACTATCAGTATATCTTATTGAGACAGAAATCACTTGATAGAAATGAACCAAGTTGGATTCCTAGCTGTCAGTAAAAGCTACCACTCAGCAATACCACTAAGAGATGTTCTGGAATTTTTAAGTGAAAAAGAAATGAACTCCCTTCTTTGAAACTCTGGGACTTGAGCACTTAGGAAACTTGAGCTTAGCAGAAGCTGACAATAAGTTAACATGGTATGTACAGAAGAGACACGTTCTTACCAACTGATAGCGCCCTTGTCACATTTCTTCATAACCATCTCTTTCCAACGTTCATGTGCAGAGTTAATAACTTCAAGGGCAAAAGCCTAGTTTCAACCAAAAACAGACAGAGCTAGTTGGGACCTAGTTCCAACCAAAGCAGCATTCTATCCACATAGAACTGTGAAGCACCTGAACGCTGGAATTGGGCAAATGAGCAGAAAACTTCCTTAGTTACCAGCTGAGATACCAGTGTTTACTTACCTTCACTAAGCCTCAATTTCATATTCAGAGGAATAACACAGAATGAGGGTGGAGTGGGGTGCATTCTATATAAGGGGCAGGCAAATGAAATCCTGTGGGTCAAACATGGGTTGCCACCTGTCTTTGTCCCGGGGATGCTTTAGTGACGCAATGGCAGTACTGAGTGTTAGGGAGCCACACTGTGTGTAAAGCCTAAAACATTTACAATCTGACCTGTGCAGACATAGTTTGTCCGTCTTGGATCTAAACCACAGAGCTAATAATGCATAAATAAAATGATGCAGTGCCACGCTTAGCCTAGCCCAAGACCTGGGAGGGAGAATACACATGTGGTCAGCATTGCGTGACTGCACACAGTCTCACCGTAATTTTGGACAACTCACTGTCTAAAACCACTGCCCCAACTTTTTCTTAGTAGTAATTCATAGAATATCTAGAATTTCATAATCAGTAATGAACAAACATTTGGCTAGGTGTATATCTAGTAACATTACATAACGAAGATCTTTACTCAAAGGAAAAAAATTATTTTTACTTATTTTTTCAAAATTAGTGTGTGTGTGCGAGCTTGCGTGTGCACACGCATCTGAGATTGTTTATGGGCATTGCCTGTGTGCAGGAGCCCTGGAGGTCAGAGGAGGGTATCAGATGCCCTTGAAGATGAGTTACAGGGAGATGTGACCCATTATATGGATGCTAGAAGCCAAACTGAGTCCTCCTCCAAAGCAGTGAGACCTCTGAACCAATGAGCCATCTCTCCAGGCACAAGAAAAGTATTTTGCTTATTTTTCCCCACTAAATGTTGTTTCTTTTCTTTAAGGAGAAGCTCTGTTTATTAACTAACTCATACTAGCTTTATGCTTCTCAATTACAACTAATAATTATCATACTGAAGAAATAATCTTGGGCTCTGAGATTGAATCGTAATGAGAAATTTAACCCGTGGAAAAAAAATTCTCTCAAGTCTACATCTGAAAAAAAAGAGAATGGTGTTATTCTCAAGGAGGTAGCATTGGGGTACTATTCTAGATAGGGGATAAGAAATGGAAATTATTATGTGAATAATACAGGGAAGGATTCTTAGATAAAATTATTCAGATAATTCTGTTTGTAATAAATTCTAGAATCTGCTTAACGAAATGGGCTGGCAAGCTCTAGAATTACAAAATGAGAGCCATTTTTAAACCATGCAAAAGAGGCACAATTAAATGTTTCTGAGTTAGGCTCTGTATTTCAATAGCAATCATAAGAAGCAATACATAAAGTGATTCCTGTTACAAGAATCATCTGGTCATCACACAGAAAAGAATCAATGTTTATTAAAAGCTGCCAGAACACAGATGACACTTGACTCTGTAAATTCACAACTTGCCAAGCTACCTTTGAGAATATAAAGAACTCTGTGTGTGTGTGTGTGTGTGTGTGAAAGAGAGAGCGAGCGAGAGAGAGAGAGAGAGAGAGAGAGAGAGAGAGAGAGAAAAGAAAAATTTATCTCAAAAATTTCCAGCATTGCATTTTTAATACAAGTCTAAAATACTTTTTATATTTTAAAACTGAACAAAACCCTCGTGACATTAAGGATCCTTTTAACGAGCCTTTTAAGAAAACTCTGAGTCCAGCAATCAATCTTGCAGAAAAATACTTGCTGTCAGTTTTAAGCTTTCATTAAATGCTTTGTTTCACTTAAGTGAACACAAGTGGACACACTTTCTGTGCCCACTTAGAAGTTGGTTAAGAGTGTGCAATTTATTCAGTGGTAACAGCTTTAAAAAAATATTCCATATTTTAGACTTCAGCTTCTTGGCTGATTTTCTCCATTTGTGTCATATTAGATTAGAAATATTCTTATGGAAGCTTTGTGGCATTCTAACGGAAAAACCCTTTATCAGTGAGACAATTCAAGTGTTCTCTTAATTGTTAAGCAACTTCATGCAGTCATGGTAAGATTCAGACAGGAGGAAACACTGGAGGGAATTACAGTAAGGGAGAACAGCCTCCTCAGACCAGGAAACGAAGCAGATTTCCTCAGACACAATTTGCAAAGTTCAAACTCACACATTCCTACACTTTCTGGGATGAGTTTTAAGTAGATTAGCCTTGTTGATTCACTTAAATATTCCTAAAAAAAAAAAAAGGAATCCTTAAATACAGACATCAGTAAAGTGTGCTGTCTTTCTTCCATATGTGATGTGAACATTCACATCAGCTCATCTCAGTGAAGCACGCGCTATCAGACATCAAGAGGTGTGCACTCACACACAGAGCCTCATCTTTACCTTGTTTTTGAACTCTCCATTAAAAGCAAACTTGTTTTCTGGTTTTCCATCTGGTACCTTATAGAGTCTAAACCAATTGAGCGTGGCTTCCAGGTAACCTGGTTTGAACTTCTTAACATCATCAATATCTGAGAGGGAAGAAACAAACGCATTTTGTTAAAAATCATTGACACTCAGCACTCCAGGTAGCCCTGGCCTGAGGAAGGCCAGAAATGTGGGGCCAAGTCTGGTTTAGACTGTAACCAATTGCTCTGGCAATGGTTGGCATGTCTCAAATCACATGCAGACGTCAGTTTCCCTATGTAAAATACTGTTCCTTCATTCTACAGACATTTACTGAGACCTTTCGTATTTGGGTTTCTTTGTTTGGTTTGGTTTGGTTTTTTTTTTTTTTTCAAGACAGGGATTCTCTGGGTAGCCCTGGCTGTTCTAGAACTCGATTTATAGACCAGGCTGACCTTGAACTCAGAGATCCGCCTCCCTCTGCCTCCCTAGTACTGGGATAAAGGTGAGCGCCACCACACCAAGCTCGGATACAGGTTTCTTTCTGTCTGGAAGTTCAGAGGCCTACATAAGAGAGGAGGCAGACAGATTCCAAATGGTAATAAAATACAAGGAGGTTGTCACAGATAGACACAGGATGGTAATATCAGGTAAGGGAGGGAAAGAAGAAACCAGAAGAGTCCCGTGAGAAGTCAGGTAGGAGAGAAAAGGCAGAAGGAACAGCATGTAGGAGGCAAGGGAGTAAGCCCTGGGCAATAAATCACAGGCCAGGACAGTGTTAAGACTTAAGACAGGGTGGAGAGGGAGGAGACACTCCAAAGAAGGAAGGGCCAGTGGGTAGCACATACCATGACAAGGATTTGTCTCATCTGACAGGTAAGGAGAGGGGTTAAACTAGTCAAATCCCAGTTTCAGGACTCATGTTTTTTGGAAATACTAGCCTAAACATTAAGAACACAAATGAGAGGGGTACCCAGAAGGTGGCACACTGAGAATGGATGAGAAAGGCTGTGTGACTTTTATTCTGTATTTAAAGACCTCTCATTATGTGTCACGCTGTGCAAGGCTGTGAGAACTGACATACGTAAGGGAGGACGCAGGCCAGAAGCTGTCATGGCTGACCCTGTAAGAAGAAGCAGACAGCAAAGAAACAAACGTGTTCAGGGGCAAAAGCCCCATAAAGAAAATGAAGCCAAGTAAGGAAGGCAGTTGTGAGTCAGGGGCTTAAACAGGGCAGGACCTGAATGGTACAAAATAATTATCCTAACTCAGCCATGGCTTCCAGGGTTTACCTTTAATGACACACACTGGAATATAATTGGAAGAAAAATCACTGATTGCAATTGATTAAACCCTTGTTCAATGAGGTCCGCAGGGAAGCAGCCTTTCTAATAATAAAAGTATAATAAATACTTGCCAATATACTGTAACTAAAGGAGAAGTTTAGAATCATCCTGAGATGTACAATATATCGCATCAAATAACAAACAGATGTGGTAAATCTGAAAAATCAGACAGCTATAAGTGAAAAGCAAGGGGTGACACACAGACAGGGAGAGTCCAGAAACTGCTTGGAGTCGTCGAAGCCCCGCCCTGTCACGTGGCAGGGAAAGGCTGGGCACTTTGTAGGCTCTGCTCAGACACAGGAGCAGTACTCCCTTGCTTGCTCACACTTGCCCCTTGCTTGGTGTCCAGGGAGAGGTTGAACACCTCCAGAGCTGGGAGCTTCTTGTAAGGGAAATGGACCTGGTAGGGTAGATCCTGGGACAAGAGAGAGCTTCAGGTTTCTGCCAGCACTCTGAAATGATACTAGGGGCTACACATCTCCAAAACATTTTGAAACAAAAAGTATCAATGTTCCAATTAACCACAGGGAGTGGGGTGAGCAGGGGTAACTTGCTTAGGGAGTGCAGGTTACAGGTAACATAACACTGATGGAACCATGGTCACTGACGGCAGAGACTCTAAGACTGGGGCTCCTACACCACCCATCCTTTCAGTAAGGCTCACTCTGCCCTGGGTTACACACTCCCAAACTCTTCACCTAATACAGTGTTGTTTCCTCCCCAAAGTCTGTTTATCTTCATATTTTTCTGCTTATATGAGAGGTTCTTTCTATGGTGGATTTTCCATTATCATTTTCTTATATCCCCATATTCTCACAAAGCATCTCTGGAAACAGATTAAGTCCAGGTTTTTCCACTTAATGTTATATTATTTGATTGGGAAAATATCTTAGTATACAAATGTTGAACTAAAAATGTACTTTAATTTCCAAAATAATTTCTTATACTTCAATCTGATGGATGACTTTATCCCTGCACCTCACCCAATCAGTGGCTTTTATTCCACTGTATAAAACATTTTATTATCTTTACCTAACACATCAATTTCAAGGAAAGAAGAAGCTAATTAACCACTACCCTTTTCAGTCAAGGAAGCTCTTTGCTGAGAACTTATGGAGGGGACCTTTACGATACCATTGATTAAAAATGTCAAACATTTAATAATGCCAAAAATAAGTACAAATCTCCAGTAGAAGCTAAACTTGCCAATTCTCATTTAATTACATCCCTGGGGAAAACAGCTGCATTTTCATAAACAACACAAAGCTCAGACAAAATCAGAAGCACGCCATTTTAACATTTTAAGAACCTCAGTAGTAAATGTCCAACCAGAAATCCAGAAAAAAGTCAATGAATGACTTTTCTAAAGGCATGAAACACTGTACTTAAAATCGATAAGAACACATTTATGTTAAACATAAGGAGACTATAGCGAAGAGAGCCCGACAGGTTTGCTAAGATGTGTGATGGGCGTAAACAATAAATCAGAACCTGGAGATGTTCAACTCTTAACCTGGTTTTCCTCTGGGTGCATAGCTACACTGTCCAGCCAAAGGTGTTGGAGATAAACGCAGCCGTGTTTATACGTTTTCTTCACCATGGTAAAATATGCACTGTGTAGTACTGTTCCCTGTAGTGGTTTTTAGGAGTTTAGCTTGGTGGCATTGTGCCCATCCATAATGTCTAACCGCTGCCACTGTCCCTCTGCAGGCCTGGCTCTGTCGGATGCGTTTTTATAATTTATGCTATTTTAAAGAAAAGTAGCAATTTTCTAGCTCCCATTTATTCCTACCCTTAGGATTTTATATGAAGGTTTATAATGTGGACAATGACGCCATTTACTGCAAAGATGGACCGCTCCAACAATAAGCACGAAGAACCTGGAAGTGCTTATTTAGAAAACCAAGCTAAATACATCTCGGTTTCTCTTCTGGACCAATTAAGCTCTTTTAATTGAACCACTTATCACTTTACTGAACTAATTAACAAAGACTCTCACTGTGTTAAATATCTTGACTGTGGTGTGTGCTGAGTCTGGTGGAACCTTCTAGAAGGAAGCACGCATCGCTCCCACCAGCAGTTGGGTTTTACCTCTGCCAAGTATCAGGTGTCTTCCCTCCTAAGGCAGTCTGCAGTGGTTATCTGTGGCTGGAGTTAGGGAATTAACTAAACATTTATGTAAGCAGGTGAATGTATTAATACAAAAGTGTTGGCGTCTGTGAAATTAAGTTTGAATGTTCTGAAAAAAAAATCCAATAAAACTGGTGACTAAAAACATCTGTCATCAATTTAGGGGTGGTAATAAAACAGAAAAACTAAACATCTCCTCTGCATGCAGACTGCTGAGCTAGTGGTGTGGGAAAAGCAGAAATCAAGTGTATGCACTTCAGTGAACTCTTTTCTTAAAATGTTATTTTTGTCCTTTTATTTTACATGCATGACTTTACCTACATGTGTACCACATGCATGCCTAGTCCCTATGGAGGCATGCAGAGGATCCCTGGAACCGGGGTTACAAATGGTTGTGAGCTGCCATGTGGGTGCTGGGACTCAAATCATGGTCCCCTTGAAGAACAGCCCATGTTTGTAAACACTGAGCCACCTCTTCAGCCCCTTCAGAGGAGGCGTGTATGAATTGCAGGAACAACCATTCAGAGTTCTGCTATTCATGTTTTTCACAGTGGAGACAGAACGGAGAAATACCTTGCAGTCCAAGCGTGCTTTAAGCTCTGAGGCCAGGGAAGAGCAAAGTCCTGGGCTAGAACTTAGTGAACGATGGGGCTTGAGAGGGGAGAGAGCAGCCACGTGCCTGTCACACACGACTCTTGGGGTCACACTGAGGACTTTGGCTTTCATGTTCAAACGGTTCAGGGCAGAGCACACATGTAGGAGGAAGATCCCTCCATTGCCAGGTGGAAAAACAATCACCCTGCACAAAGTAAAAACTGAAGCAAGAGTCCCAGTAAGAGTCTTATACGGCTGGGCGTGGTGGTGCGAGTGCAGGTCTTTAATCCCAACAATAAAGGCAGAGACTGGATCTCTGTGAACTTGAGGCTGGCCTGGTCTATGTAGTAGGTTCCTACACAGCTAGGACTATGTAGAGTGACTCTGTTTCAAAAAACAAAACAAAAAAAAAGATGCAGGGGTGGGAGAGGGGAGAGGGGAGAGGGGAGAGGAGAGAGGGGAGAGGGGAGAGGGGAGAGGGAAGAGGGGAGAGGGGAGAGGAGAGAGGGGAGAGGGGAGAGAGGAGAGAGAAAGAGAGAGGGGGGGAGGGAGAGGGAGTGAGCGAGAGAAATATCTATATTCATTGAAGAAAGAGATTGAAGAAGATATCAGAAGACACAAAGATCTTCCATGCTCATGGATAGGTAGGATTAATATAGTCAAAATAGTCATCCTACCAAAAGCCATCTACAGGTTCAATGCAATCCCCATCAAAATTCCAACATAATTCTTCACAGAACTTGAAAGGACAAATTTCATATGGTATCAGAAAAAAAATAGGATAGCTACATCATAAATAAAACTAAAAATAAAACACTGGAAATATCACTATCCATGATCTCAAATTTTACTACAGAGCCATAGTAATCAAAACTAGCACACATGATACTAGCATAAAAACAGATGAGTTGGTCACTGGCGTCAAACTGAAGGCCCAAATGTAAATCCAGATCCCTATAAATATCTGATTTTTTATTTTCTTTTTTTAAAAAAGGCCAGAAATACACACTAGGAAGACGACAGCATCTTCAACAAATGGTGCTAGTTAAACTGGA